ACTAGCCTGGGCTATAGAGTGAAACCTTGCCTCAAAAGACCAAAAACTGAAACCCATTATTGTCAACTACTAGACTATAAATTCCAAGAGGTCAGCATCTAAGGGCTAAGTAGTCCTCTTTCCTCTTTGAATGGACCCTCACTTTTCTTCCTCTCCCTGTCTGAGATCTTACCACCGGACCCCTGCTCCAGCCTCGGCCCCACCCCCACTCTCCTCTGCTCTCTGATTCTTCCTCCTCTCCAGCAGTTCCTGGCCTGTCCCTGCAGGGCTCCTCTATCTTCAGGCTTCTCTGATTTCCTCTCCTATAAACTCTACCCACTCAGATACCACCTCACCTCCTTGCTCCTCCAGCAATAACGTCTGCATTTACTACATTTTTTGAGTAATCATCTATCTATCTATCTATCTATCTATCTATCTATCTATCTATCTATCTATCTATCTACCTACCTACCTACCTGACTACCTACCTACTTATTTATTTATTTAGGTTTTTCAAGACAGGGTTTCTCTGTGTAGCCCTGGCTGTCCTGGAACTCATTCTGTAGACCAGGCTGGCCTTGAACTCAGAGATCCACCTGCCTCTGCCTTCTGAGTACTGGAATTAAAGGTGTGCACCACCACCGCCCGGCCTATCTATTTATTTTTGAGCTATTTCTTAGTATGTAGCCCTGGCTGGTCTTGAACATGAGACCCAGAGAGCCCAGCTACATAGTAGGACCTATCTTGCTCAAACTGCACAAGACTCCATGATTGTGATGTGTTACTATCTCCATCTTACAGATAAGGAACTCAAGGACCACAGACATTCAAGGGGTTCCCCAACTTTACCTGACTAGCAGATAACAGCTCTGGGATTCAAACCCATTCAGTCTGATCCTCCACCATAGCACCCACTCACTGCTCTACATTTAACTGCTTGCCATGCTCCTTTGAGTTTTCTTCCTCTGTCCAAGCTAAGTTCCCTGCCTGGAGGACTCTTCCTCTCCATTGTCCACCTACCCCAAGCCTTGTTTGTCATAGAAGGTCTTGGTCCTAAGTCACCTCTGTTTCAAAGTCCTTTCCAGATTCCCCAAGAACAGGGGATTTCTCACTCTTTAATTTATAACTGAGAAAATTCTGTAATGCCACTTATCATCATCATCATCATCATCCCCAACAGCTCCATAGCCCTGGCAGGCTTCAATTCATGATCCCCCTACACCACTCTCTCAAATGCTGAAGTTACCATCATATGCCACCACTCTCAGCTTGTGTTGAGACCTCCCTCCAGACTCCATGTCCCATTCCACCCACCCAAACCCACCCACACCCAGGAGCGTCATTGGCAGGAAACGTGCTCTGTCTCCCTCTAGTGTCTATCACAAAACTGGGCACAGAAATGGGTGTTCTCTAAATGCCTGAGGCCTGAATGGCAGGGGCCTCAGCACTCATCCCTGAACACTGTTAGAAATTTCCAGAACATGAGTGTCCAGCTGGAAAGAAGCAGGGAAGGAGGAGGAAGCTGTAGAGTTCTCAGGTAGGAGAGATCTCCATGTAGGGGACACTTTCTGAGAGACAGTTTTACTGATCTTACCACTGGATCAAACTCCCCAGAGGGGCCAGCTGGTGATGAAGTTCCACACTTGCATGACCCCAGAGGTCTTTGGGAGCCAACTGCCCTACCCTAGGGGATTTCCCCCTCTTACGATGCCAGGAACTGAACCATGGTAGGAAGTGACCCTGGCAGGGTGTCTGCATGTCCTGTCACAGGAGGAAGTGTCGCCAGAGTTCCTAGGCTCATGGATTAGGCTACCCCAGCCAGACCTGTAGGCCTTCTGACAGCAAGTGGTCACATGACTTTAGTAATATGATAGTTCTGGGGCAAGCATGAACTTCCCTGCCTGTGAGGGAAATTGCCCCATCCTCAGGGATATGGGGTAAGAACCATTCTAGTGCCTCTCAAAGTGCTGCCATGGTACCCTGGCTAGGACTGTGGGCAAAATCTGAGTTCTTAGAAGCTGAAGACTTTAAGAGAGGCTGCCTCCCTCAGTATCTTCCTAAGACTCCTAGGGCCTCAGATCCCAGTGTGACCTAGCTAGCCTTGCCACATCCTTTAGGGTAGGAGGCAAGGCAGGAGGGAGGCTGAAAAATGAACTCTGTTATTAAGTCCATGTTGCAGTTCACTGTGCAACATGGCTTCCTTCTTGAAGTCTCCTCCTTGGTCTCCAGGCCACTCCTCACAAGCTAAGGAAAGACACCTGGCAACATCAGAATTAAAGAGCATGTTCAAGAGAACACATTTGCTCCACAGCAGGCACCGTGGACTAGCTGCTCTCCACGTGAGTTTTCCAGGTCACTGTCCCACTAGAGTTCATGTTGGCCGGGTAAACTTCCAGTCCCAACTCTGCCCTACAAAGTCAAGAACCCTGGGTAAGTGGCTAAATAGTCTGTTCCAGCAAGCCTTCCTGGAGGCTCCAGGGCACACTGGAGTTAGTCAATCAAGGCTACGGAGAAACTTAACAGATGGGCAACATGTTGGGAGACGATATGTGGAACACCAACATCCGACACCGGAGTGATATCTAAAATTTGAATGCTATTCTTGCAAATGAATGTAAAAAACACACGAAACCCAATGGAAGTGAGCAAACAGTAAAGGAGCAGTCCATAGCAGGGAAAGCCCAGTGCCCAATAGGTACAGAAGGAGGCCTCAGATCTCAGGAGCTGGCTAGGGATGTAGCTTAGTTCGGAGAGTGCTCACCTGGCATTCACGATGCTCAGCGTTCCACAAGCCAGGCATGCAGTGCACATCTTTAATCCTAGAACTTAGGAAGATCAGAAGTTTGAAGCCAGCCTGGGTTACATGAGGCACTATCTCAACAGCAAAACAACAACAACACAGATCTCAGGATTAGCACAGAAATGCAAGAGTGCATGGTATATGTGTATTTGTCTCTCTCTGTGTGTGTGTTTGTGTTTGTTACTGGGAATTGAATTTAGGGTCACATACATACTAGGCAAACATTCTACTATTGAGCTATATACCAGTATTTCTTAGGCTTTTTTATTTTGAGGCTGAGTCCTGCTTAGATGCCACATCCAAACTGATAGACAAATATTATAGCCAAGCACTAGAGAAAACAGATGGATGCGCAAGGCAACAGCATTGTTTAAAAGCTATGGATAGGCCATTCCGGAAGGGTTTTGTGAAATTTACACACGTGTGTCTGGAATCTACTAATTCCACTCCTGGCAGAGCTCAAAGGAATCTTCACATGGGTCCACAGGGGCCAAAGATGTTCCTCACAGCAGTGTTTGTGGTATGAGAGGGTTGAAAGCAAACTTTCCATCATCGAGACTGGAAAAAGAGAGGGAATACTTAACTTGGAATATCTGGCAGCTGTTGAATGCAATAAGCTGTGTTTTCCCATAATAATGTGTCCGGACCTTAAAAACACTACAGAGTGGGCTAGGCATGGTGCTGCACACCTATTATCCAAGCACTCAAGTGACTGAGTCAGGAGGATCCTGAGTTGGGTGCAGCCTTGGCTGCACAGCAAAATCCCATCAAAAAACAAGAACAACACAAAATATCACACCACTGATCATCCAACCCAAATGGCAAAACAACACATTTGTGAAAGGGAGTCGAAGAATTAGAACCCATTCCGACGTCACTTATGCCGTGTTCCTGTGCACACAGCATTGCCTAGTGTACGTGCGTGTGTACATGTCCTGGTTTGCTGCGTGCGTGCGGAGGTCAGAGGTCAATGCTGAGCATCTTCCTCAGTCTCTCGGTGCCTTACCTTTTAAGAAAGGGTCTCTCTTTGTTAACCAAAAATTATTATTATTAGTGTCTGTGCATGCATACATGCAGGGTGGTGGTGATGACTGACACCACCGTGCTCATGTGTGGGGGTCAGAAGACAACTTTGTGCAGCTGGTTTCTCCCCCCACCTTTATATGGGTTCTGGGGCTCGAACTCAGGTGGCCAGGCTTATGCAACAAGTGCTTTACGATCTGAGCTGTCTCACTGAGCTGAGGGTCTCTCACCCACACTTACTGATTAGCTGGCCACTCTCTCTGTACCCCTGACCCCAGCTAGGGTTAAAGACATATGTGACCACACTAGCTTTTTACATGGGTCCTGGGGATTCGAACTCAGGCCATCATAATTTCGAGGTAGGCATTTCACTCACGGCATGATCTTCCCAGCCCGGCATTGTGTGTTTCATGGACAGGGATGAGTTTTTGACATGTGGGGCTGGGGTTTGTGGTGTGGAGAAGAATATGGACAGGGGAGGAATGAAACAGAGCACCAGGAGAGCCTTGCATGACCCAGTGATGAAGGGACAGTCATCGGCCACAAAAAACCAAGTGGGAATCTGGAACACTAAGTCCCAGTGATCACGTGATTTGAAAATATTTGGCCATGGAAGGCTTAGCAAGGTTTTGCAGACACATTTTTTCTCTTTTAGAAGTATCTGTCTGGCCTCCTCTCAAGGCTCACCATCCTCACTCAGGCTGTGCCAAGGGCTGGCCTTGTCGCAACATCCATAGCTCACAGCAGAACCAATCTGCACAGTTCTTTGACTTGCCCAGCCCCAGGGCAAGCGTCTGCAGAGTCCGGAGTGTGTGTTTGGGGCTTGGGCACAAGGCCAGGCTATAAGACCACTGTGAAGGCCAGTCCTGTTTCTTCTTCAGGCTGTAAACTCCTTCAGTCTTTGTGACATCTCATTCCACCCACTGCTCCCAGGAACGGTAGGTAAACTGAGTCAGGAAACATTCCAAGTGGAAGGAAACAGCATTTATTGAGCATCTACAGCATGCTAGGCTAAGGTCTTGACCTCAATACTAAAGTCTTGACCTCCATTCATCCTGATGACCACTTGTGAAAAGAGGTGAAATTACTGTACAGATGTGGAAATAGGCAGCGATATCCAAGAAGAACAGGGTCATTCCCTCATATTCATTCCTTAAAAAACAAAACAAAACAACAACAAAAACTTCTCAGTTTCTCAGCCTGTAAAATTGAAGAGAGGTCTCGGGGCTCTGAAAATGGTTTTGTTTTGAGTTTGGGTCGGGAGTGCAGAAAGCTGGGGCTTGAATTGGAAATCTTTTCTGTCCGCCAGTAGGTGGAGCGATTCTTCATCCTGGTCCGGAATAAAGGGCCGCATCCCTACAGGACACAGGGCAAGGTGATTCCCTCATTCGGCCAGTCTGCGAAGGCGTGTACTCCTTCGCAGGGAACTCTCTGGAAGTCTGAGTTCAAATCCTGTCTCTGCCAGTGTGGCTTTACCCAAGATTTCTTTTCTTTTCTTTCTTTCTTTTTTTAACCTCACAGAACAGCAGATGACCCAAGGCTCCCCACATGTTTGTTAGCTTAGTATATTCTTAGGGTTATATTCCCACTTATTAGCTATACAACCTATATTAAATAACTACTCAAACTTCACTTTCCTCACCTGTAAAAGTAGATCTTTTTACCTGTTTTGGTGCAAATGTAATAACAAGCTACTTCCCATGCTGAGCCCCATTAAAAGTTAGTTTTGCCTCTGTCCCCTTTTAGCTCTTTGACTTTCTTCCTTTACTTTGCTACTCTGAGTCTCAGTTTCTTTGCATGCAAATGGGCACAAAATAACTGTATTTACTTCCCAGAGGTGGGGACAATCTATGAGATCATGTTTGGCTTGTGATAACTGCCAAACATGTGCTTGTGTGCTGCTGGCGTTATTCCTCTGGTGCTTATTAACCCTAACTAACACACTAGCTGTGTGACTCTCGACAAGTTCCTTTGCCTCTCTGAGGCTGAGCCCCTCCCCTCCCCCAGGCTGTGTGTGTAGGGGTGGGTCACAACCTGACCCAGCTTTGCTACCCGAGGGCTTTGTTCATGTCAGCTGTTTCCTGGCAATTCCTTTTCCTTCTCCATACTCTTGCCTTCCTTCTCTGTTCCAGGGTCTCAAGATCTTGGCCTTAGGGGCTGGAAGAACAAAGTGCTCCCGGGTGGTGCCCAACTAGGGATGCCAGGAGCCAAGGGGAGCCGGGGCTTACCAATGAGAAGGAACTTGCGACGGTCCCCATAGAGTTTCTGCAGGCCTGCACAAAAGTCCTGGATAGGAAGCCCCAGGTGATAGTCCCGTAGCAGTATTGCGAACTGCTGGATCTCAGGGGGACCCAGCTTACTCCGCAACTGTGAGAACAAGGAATGTGTTGTGGAATGATCTTTTTGTGCACTGTGAAGATGTGTCACTCTGACTGGTTTAATAAAAAGCTGAACTGGCCAATAATAGCCAGGCAGGATTTCCAGGCAGAGAGGATGCTGGGAAGAAGAAGGTGGAGATACTAGGAGATGCAGAGCAAGCAGGATGGGCAGTATGGAGATGAGGTAATAAAGCCAGGAGGCAGAAAGTAAATTAATAGAAGTGGGTTAACTTAAGTTATAAGAGCTAGTTAGAAACAAGCCTAAGCTATAGGCCGAGCTTTCACAATTAATAATAAGTCTCTGTGTTGTTTTTTGGGAACTGGCAGCCCAAAGAAAAATCTGTCTACAGGGACGTTCTTGGAGACCAGTCCCAGAGTGCAATAAAACTCGATTCCTGCTAAAAATGCTGGGGTTCTCTCCGACAGTCTGCCTGGCCTAGTCTGCCTCCCAAACCTTCCATTGCCCACTGGGGGAATATCTGGTCCTTTGCATCTAGGAATGGGATGTGGGTCCAGCTTCCTAAGCCCAATCCTTTGGTGACCACCTCTGTGGTGTCAGGAGGTCACTCCCTCTCTGATCCTTGTCTTCCTCCTCTGCCCCTGTGGTGAGAAGGGATCTCCCACCTCCTTGGGGTTGTTGAAAAGATAAAAGACAACATGTCCAAAAAGGCTTGGGACATTCAGTGCTGGCTGATGTCAGCCAAGGCTTTTCTTTTTCTTTTTTTTTTTTTTTTTTTTGGTTTTTCGAGACAGGGTTTCTCTGTGTAGCTTTGTGCCTTTCCTGGAACTCACTTGGTAGCCCAGGCTGGCCTCGAACTCACAGAGATCCGCCTGGCTCTGCCTCCCGAGTGCTGGGATTAAAGGCGTGCGCCACCACCGCCCGGCTTAGCCAAGGCTTTTCTAAGGTGGCCTCTCCCCATCGCATCTCCCTCCCTGGCCTCTGAGCTGTCACGTATGATTCCTGCAATGCACTGTGCTTGCTGCGGAGCACTGCCACCCCACTCACTGTGACCATGTAATCCTGTAGCTGCTCGAAGGCCCAGCTGCTGTGGTCAATACTGCTGCAGTGGGAGCCATGGAAAGACGGGGTGGATGCACCACTGTAACATGCTTCAAATGTGTCCTGGGAACCACTGCTGTAGAGACAAGAGGACAAGACCCTCATCAACCTCTGTTCTTTTCCTTAAAGTTGGTTGGTCCTATGTACCAGTGCTCAAAGCCCCATCCTAGGCCTCATCTTTCCCTCCAAGGCTCTTCATGAGGCCCAGCAACCTTTCAAGCCTTCTCCTGTTCTCAGAACTCAGATCACACTGCCATCCTTACCTCATCCTGGGCCTTTGCTCATGATGTTCCCTGGAATCCTCTCTCCTCCTCACTTTCTCTCTCATATCTGGTGTTATAGTCACAGGGTCCCTACCTGCTTGTTCTGAGTCCTTGCTGTTCCTGCGTGGCTGTATTCATTCTCTGTGTGGATGCCCTGTCCCTTTTATCCCTAGCGCAACTATCATCAGTTTGGGGAAACCCTTCTGGTTCCTAAATAAGGTCCCCTTCTGACTCCCATAGACCAGGAAGCTTCTCTTCAGTGTGGTATCATCAATGCTGGCTGAATCTTGTGCTAAATTGTGTGGCTCTTGCTTTCTCCTTTCGTCCTTTCTGTAAACCAGGCTGCCGGGCTCATCGTGGAGGGTTCTTTTTTGTTGTTTTGTTTTTTTTGTTTTGTTTTTTTGTTTTTCGAGACAGGGTTTCTCTGTGTAGCTTTGCGCCTTTCCTGGAACTCACTTGGTAGCCCAGGCTGGCCTCGAACTCACAGAGATCTGCCTGCGTCTGCCTCCCGAGTGCTGGGATTAAAGGCGTGCGCCACCACCGCCCAGCCTGTTTTGTTTTTGACAGGGTCTCACATATCCTAGACTGGCCTTAGACTCTCTATGTAGCTAAACTTAGCCTTGAACTTTTGATCCTCCTGCCTCTACCTCCCAAATGCTGGGATTACAGGCATGAACTACCAAGCCTGGTTTATGCGATGATGGGGGTTGAACCAGGGCTTCTGATGTGCTAGGCAAACACTCTCAACTCAGGTGCACCCCCAGTCCCATGAAGGAAGTTCTCTTTATTAACTGCTTTTAAAATAAGATGTCTAGCCTGGGCTCCCGCCTCGCTTGGTTTTTAACTTGTTTCAGAATCACTTTCTATTATTATATACAGGACAGCACAGCTTCCTGGCCAAGCCTGTGTACTCCTTCTGCTTGTTGCTTGAGCCATGGTCTCATGTTGCCCAGGCTAGCCTCAAACTCACTATGTAACTGAAGCGGGCTTTGAACTTCAGGTCCTTTGGCTTTCGCCTCCCAAGTGCTGGGTCTAGAGACTTGGCAAGGGTGCAGACTCCTGAGTTCACATCCCAGCTTACTTGTGCTCGTAGCTCATTGATCCCTGCAATGCTAAACACTGTTTCCCTAGTCCTCAGCTTTTCCATCTGTAAAATGGGAGGCTGAAGACTGGTGTCATTGTGAAAATGACAGGAACTAATATTTGTCAAGCACTTCAGGTCATAGAGCCTTTGAAATAGATAACTAGCCACATAGGTCCTGACAAAAGTCAATGGCGTGCTTTACAGCATACAGCAAGCGCAGCAAATGTGTCCTTAGTGTGATTTTGCTCTCCTCAGCCAAGTCAGGTTGGCTATGGACTGGTCTATGTGCACACAGGCTTAGGGAGGCAAATGTGGTGCCAATCTTAACGATAGTGTAGATAAGGAACACTACTTGCCAACACCAGCGTCCTTAGTAACAGGACCTATTACTACAGGTCTGCTCAGGACTTTATTGAATTTAAACTAAAAATCCCATATCTTGTGAAACGCCTCTATCTTGAGCAAACTGGGATAGGCAATGTTCTTAACAGAATTCTCTAAATTTTTTTTGAGGCAGGTTTCATGTATCCCAGGTTGGTCTGGAACTCACTATGTAGCCAAGGGTAACCTTGAACTTCCGATTCTCTTGCTTCCACCTTCCCAGTGCAGAGGTTACAGGTGTGCATCATGTTATGGAGTGTGAGGGATCAAACCAGGGCTTTGTGCGTAGCTAGGAAAAGTAGGCTCTACCACCTGAGCTACAGCCCCAGCACCCAGAAAGCTGTCTTAGCCTACATTTTCCAGCCTGGCTTGCAGCTAGTTCTGACCAAGTGGCCGAATTCTGACTACTAACATGTAAGCTAGATAGCACGTGTGTGTGTGTGTGTGTGTGTGTGTGTGTGTGTGTGTGTGTGTGTGTGTGTGTGGCTGGGGATGAACCCAGGGTCTTTTGCATGCTAAGCATGCATGGCAATGCTGAAGTACTCCCTGGCCTCCACCCTCCCTATAGAGGCTCCTGGTGTGCTGCTGCATGGCTGCAGCCACAGCTTAGACCATGAGGTTACTCTGAGGATGGTGAAGAGGAAGCTGTGACCGGAAGAGAAGCTCGGGGGCCCAGAGGACCAGGAAGCCCCGAATTCTTGTTATACTTTATGTGAAAAGACAAGAAAACCAATCTTGTCTTTTTAAACCCACCCTCCTCAGGGTTTTCTGTTATATAGAGCCAAGACTAAAGTCAACCAATATTGTTTGCAGCATTAGCTGTAACTTTGGACTCTGCAGGCCACTAAACCTAGGAGACCTGAAGATCTCTGCGGACCTGGGTCTGAGTTCTGGCATTTCTAGGTCTCTCGGGGTTTATCCTGGAGCTCTGCTTACATCCCACCCTCAACGAAAATCAGGGTTGGGTCCCTTTCCCCCACGCACTCTAGAGGAGTGGCCCTGTTTGGGTAGGGGTGAGAAGGAGAACACAGGCATCCCCGACAAAGGTGATACCCACAAGGAGCTGCAGCAGCTCAAGTCGGCGTCGTAGGCAAACGTCCCATCTGTGCAGCAGCTCTCACCTGGGACCAGCAGACAGAAGAAGTGTCAGAAGTGACGTGCAGGGACCAATATCTTAGGCTCCCTGAAGCCCCAACCTTAGTGGTACCCTAGGATCTAGCTCTGGTCCAACCCCGACACACAGCCAACTGTGGGCAACACTCCCTGATCCTCATCTTCCTCAGTACCCAGGCGCGTAGCATCTGCCTTTTCGATGGGATGTGGGGAACGGCAAATGAGAGCCAATGGGGAAGTGTTGGTAAGTGTGTGTTTAGGTGAGTCAGGAAGATTCTGCAAGGGGGAAGAGGGTTGGAAGTGTGAAAGGAAAGCAGCAGCATTTGTGGAGAATGTGCCTCCTCCTCAGTCTGCCCCTCATCTGTGCAGGCATGGCCTTCTCATCCCAGCTCATTCGGGGTCATTCGGTCACCCTGAATTCTCAGAGACCAGTTCCTCATTACAGGTTCTCAAAACACTGTCTGTGGTTAGACATTTATCTGTGTGACTATTCCATGCAACTTGCAGGAAATTGTGGCCGTGCCTCAGTTTACCCACCATCAGTATATCTTGCAGATTACAACTGGGCCCGAGACAGTCAGTGCTCAGCAAATATATGTTGAATGAATGAATTGTCGACTACCAGATGAGTGCTCTCATTCATTCACCCAGCATCCTGGTGGGATCTGATGAGATACCCCAGCTTCCCAGCGGGCACAGCTCCTGCGGGTAGGAGGGCCTTCAGAAAGCCTGTGCCCCAGGTACCGGAGCTGTGCAAGCAGAGACCACCCCATAGCAGGCTGTGGAGGGGGAATTCACTCAGTGACCTAGCACACAGAGGCAGGCTGTTGCAGGTAGAAGCTGTGGAACCAGACAGATTAGGTTTGGCTTCTGACTCTTGACTTATCGACTGTATGACCTGTGACAATTTATTGACTACTCTGAGACTCAACTTTGTTGTTGTTGTTGTTGTTTTAAATTGTAAAACTGGATCCACGGGCCTCAGAAAGGCTCCTCGTCCTTTTCCTTTTCCTTTCGAGACAGGGTCTCACTATGCAGTCCTAGCTAGCCTGGAACCCATGATGTCTTGAACGCACAGAGATCTTCCTGCCTCTGCCTCCCAAGTGCTGAGATTAATGACGTGTACCACCACTATGCCTAGATCTTTTCCTTTTTAAGACAAGGCTTTTCCATTGTAGCTCAGGCTGACCTTAAACTGCTCCTCCTGCTTCAGCTTCCCAAGAGCTGAGGACTATTGGCATATGCCCTCGTGTCTAGCTCTGAGAGGTTTTAAATTTTTTTTAATTACACAAAATTATTTATTTCGTGTATATGTGCTTGGGCTTGAGCCTGCGTATGCCAGGGTGCCCATGTGGAGGTGGGAGGACAGCTTTTGGGACTCAGTTTCTCCTTCCAGCCTGTGCGTGAGTCCTGAGGATCGAACTCAGGTTATCAAACTTAGCCGCAGGCACCCTTCCCCCACTGAGCCTTCTCACCAGCCCAGGCTCTGAGCATTTTTCACTTATCCAAAGACTACCTGTCTATCATCTGTGTTGTGCCCAGTCCTGTGCTAGGTGAATGAGACAAGTAAGTTGCATGAAGAGTCAAGAAGACTTGGCGGGGGCTGGAGAGATGGCTTAGCAGTTAAGAGCACTGACTGCTCTTCCAGAGGACCCAGGTTCAATTCCCAGCACCCACATGGCAGCTCACAACTTTCTGTAGCTCTAGTTCCAAGGGACCTGACACTCATGGCAAAACACCAATGCACATAAAATAAAACTAGAAAACCGTAGAAGAATAAGAATAAGAATAAGAATAAGAATAAGAATAAGAAGAAGAAGAAGAAGAAGAAGAAGAAGAAGAAGAAGAAGATGACTTGGCAACTTGCTATTGTGCTTGGCATCTAATTGGCACTCAATAAATGCCCCTGTTTGTCTCACTTTAACTTCAGTCCTTGACTGTATACATGGACTAATCCAGCAATGTTAGCCTAGGAGCCTCATGGGGTGGATGGCACAGTTAGCAGACAATACACAAGCTTAACTTTCTGCAAAGCAGGGACACCCAAAACAAGAGAGAAGTTTCAAGTGCCCAAGTTCATACTCATCCCAAACTTGACAACCTGATCATCTCTTAAAAGGTCATCTTGAAGACTGATATTCTATTAAGTGGATCCCTAGAACTGGGGTACAGCTCAGAACCCCTAAAGACCTTTATCAGTCCCGACTCTCAGGACATCCAGCCTTTCTGGGTGCTTTCTGGGAGTTTAGGTACTCACTGAAGCTGGAGAGCCACGGCTGCTTGGGCGTGGATCTGTAGTGGTAGCCAGCCCGGTTTACACACTCGATGCTCTGGTCCCCATAGATGATCTGGAAGACTTGACAGATGAGTGCACAGGACTCCTCAGCAGCATCCTGGTCCAGGGGGAGGAAGAGAGCTCAGCTCTTGGCCTCTATCAGGGCACCTCTGCTTCCCCAGATGCAGTGCGAGCCGGGACTGAGACACACCCCTTGGGCCCCCTTAAGCGAATTTCAAAGACATTTCCCCTCAAAATTATATGGCTCCTCTCCTGTTCTTATGATCTTCATAGAACCCAGAGGCAACTCTGACCCCTGTGCCATGAAAATACATTCCAGACTTCCAGGGGATTCTTGGCCTATCACGAACTTTACCTAACATAAGGGCTCGTTTAACTTACTGTACAGGTGCATGATCTGAAGCCCAGTATGAAGATGGGATTAGGAGGAGGAGGGACACTTCAAAGAATCAAAACCTTAGGCTCAGTGCTGTTATTACTATTGGACACAATGTACAGCTGTGGGCTCCCTGGTACCCAATGCGATACTGGAAGCAACGTCATGACAGTAGTCTCTGTAGAAGGTAGAGGCTTGGGCAAGGCTTTGGAGATTGTGCATTCGAGGAGGAAGTCACCTCTTCGAGCGAGACACAGAATAACTGCCAATTTTTCTGCAATTACTATTTGAAACAATAACTGATTGAAAAAGATCATGCTTACGAATATACTGCCTCTAAAAAAGCCTAAGGTAAAAATTAAAATGTAATTCAGGATGGGTATCTGTGGTTGTAGCAGGTACTGATATTTACACCAGGGTGGATGCTTGCCCTGACAGGTCAGAGAGGACCCTCATTTTATAGTTAAGGCTGGCACCGGGTGTTTTAGCTCTGACTGGTGTGCTTGGGACCACTGTACTTCAGAGCCCTGGAAAGCAACTCATTTACTTATTCTACCACTAGGCCGGGCCCGAAGCCTTAAAGCTGCCACGCTTGAGTGGGCTAGCCAACGCACGTGGTTGCCCCTGTCTGGTGCTCAATTTGCAGGTCCTTGGTTGGACTGACTGTTTCTCCTCCTGCTTCATTGTAAACAATAACGAACTAACGTTTCCTGTTGAAGCAGGTCTCTTCCTCCATTCCCTATCACACGGGCCGCTCACTTCCTTTCAGAGCCAGCACGACCCATTGATCCTAGCTTTTCTGTCTATGTGTCTATGTGTCTGTCCGTTTTCATTTCCTCGTCACCCTAGTCAAGTTTCCAGGATGAGGTTGTGTTGGATGAGGCAGTAGAGTACAGAATGTAAGAAAGGGCTGAGCCAATGGGGGTAGAGCATTATGACATTATCCCAGCGAGAGGAGATGGAACAGGGAATGGACAGTACAGGCCATAGGATTTGCGTGTATTTAAAAATAAGACCAGTGGGATCTATTGACAGAGTAGATTGTGTGTGTGTGTATATGTGTGTGTGTGTGTGTGTGTGTGTGTGTGTGTGTGTGTGTGTGTAAGACAGAGATAGAGACAGAGACAGAGAAAGAGAGACAGACAAACCAAGACCCACTACAAGGTTTCAGCCCAAGCCACCAAGGATGGAGCTGCCATTCAATTGAAACAAGGAGATGAAGGTGCTTTCAGGTTTGGGAGGAGAGTGGGAGCTCAATGGGACAAATTTATGCTGCAAGAACAAGCAGACCTGGAAAAGACAAGATGAGCGGAAATTTGGTTAGAGATGAAATTCAGGGTATTCTCCAGGTTTTAGAAGGCAGCAGAGTTGAAATCACCTAGAAACAAGTGTGGATAAAGGAGAGAAGACTGAGGATAATATCTAGACAACCCCTACTTTAAGAGGCTGGAGAGAAAAGGAGGTACCAGCTTCCAAGCAGGAGCGTGGCGTGGGGGGTGGGGAAAACCAGAGAAGGAGCCCTAGATAGCAAGTGAGAAAGTATCTCAGGGTGGGGGCCTGAGCTACAGTGCTGCGTTCCAGGTATTGGCTGCCTCTCCCTGCACACAAGCACACTCGTTGTTGAGAGAGAGAGAGCCCAGGGCCCTGGGGTAGAGGTGATGTTTGGAAGGCTCAAGCTTGCTTGAAAGTGCCTGCTGGACTGGGTACTCCTCTAGGGAGGACACCAAATGGCTTGCTCACCTCCATGCACACAACACCTAGCCCAGTGTGGAGCACACAGCTGGCACTCAATAAACACCACGGAGCCAGCCAGGCAGTGGTGACGAAGGCCTCAGGAGGCAGAGACAGGCTGATCTCTGTGAGTTCGAGGCCGGTTAGAGCTACAGAGCGAGATCCAGGACAGCTAGAGCTACACACAGAGAAACACTGTGTGTATATTCAAGTGAGTGAGAGCAAAGGTGAATGGGGACAGAGAGGTGACAGGCAGGGCAGGCAAGAATGATGGTAAGGCTTCTTCTGTCTTGGGTGGCTACCTTAGTTACCAAGAGTAAGGCTTTGAATTTCCTGGGTTCGAATCTTGAAGCCACCTGCTTATGCGGGACCTAAACTTAAAGCCTATGTCCTTCCTTAAGGAATGGGAATAGGTGTGGTATTTGCCCCCGGGGCTGCTGTGGGGATTAAGTGTTAATGTTGTCCCACGGCTGTCTTGGGTCGGTGCTTCACGTGTGTGGTGTGATTAGTGCGATTGTGACCGTCAGGGCGGTGGCGCCAACACTGCCTCGCGCTCACCCTGTTGGCCACAGCTAGGATGACTAGGTTGCAGTAGGCGTCGGGGCTGGGGTTCTGGGGATCCAGCGGGTTGGGGCCGGGGTGGCGTCGCTCCCAGCTGCCGCCGGGCTTGCCCGCGCCGCCGCCGCCCGCGTGCCGCCGCTCCCAGCTGCCGCTGAACGTCTGTCGCCGCTCCCAGCTGCCCGACGCCCGAGCTCCCGCGCGCTGCCGCTCCAGGCTGCCGCCGCCGCCCGCCGCCCGGGCCTCGGCGCCCGCACCCCCGCCCCACGCCATGCGCCAGTCCAGGCTGCAGATGGTGTGGCGTCGCTCGGGGCTGGCGTCCACGCCCAGACCTAGGGGAGGCCAGGGATGGGGGGGGGGAGTGTCACCGCACAGGCTGCGGAGGCCACCCGGAGGGCCACCGCACAGTTCTGGGGTCCCTGCTCTAAGGCCCCGCCCAGCACCAGAGCCCAGGCTCTGCTGTCATGACTTTCGCCGCCTCCCCCTCTCCCCCGCCCTGGGCCTATGACTCCGCCTCCAGACTTTGGCTCCGCCCCAGATCTCCAGGGCGGCAGTAGCTTAGTTCCCATCCTCCCCTACACACCCTGGAGACCTTCCCTTCAGGCCTGCCTTCTGAATTGAAGGTGGTGGTCAAGTTGTCCCCTTTCTCCGTACCCTTCATTTGGACGGTGACCCTGGTCTCAGCATCCCTGCCTTCCAGTACGACTTCTGTTATCTTCAGTCCCACTCCCAGATTGCTGACTGTAACCTCCTAGAAGTCCAGACCCCAGTCCTTCCCTAGCCCGAGGGTGCCCCCTACTGTCAGAGCCGAGGGATTATGTCTTCTACCACCTCCTTTAACGTTGAATTCTACTAAAGTAGCCCTGCGTGGAACTCGGGACTCCCAACTTCTCTGTCCCACCCAACCTCAATCTGGTCAGGCTGCCCACTCCTCATCTGCAACCCCAGGCTGTCTGGTCTTGCCTATGGCTTCATCTGCCCGCCCCTAGTCTCAGAATAGTGTGCCCAGATTTCTGCTATCTGTCTCCCAGCCTCGGACCCATCCCTGGTGCTCTTCACTCAATGGTCCCAGCACTGCAGGTTGGCCTCCCGACCCCGCTTCCCTGCACAGCACCAGTCTTAAGCACTAGCAGATGCAGCGCCTCCTCCCTCTTCCCCAGCGCCTCACCCTGGCAATGTCCAGCAGCTGCAGGAGCTCGTCTTGGCTGGAGGGGTTCAGTGAGGAAGTCACCCAGGTGAGGTGGCCCAGGAACTGGATGGGAAATGGGAGGTCACCATGAAGAAGCCTTAGGAGATTCTAGCCTCCTCGTTAATGCAGGACAGACTGAAACACTCAAATTAATAATAACCAGTGTGATGGCTAATTTTGGTTGTCAACTTAACTACATACAGAACTGACTCAAATCCAAGTCGCTGGGCACTCCTGTGGAGGGTTCTCTTGACTGTATCATATGAAGTCAGAGACCATCTTAAATCTGGGTCACACCTTCTGGTGGCAGCCCACATAAAAGGACATGGAAGAAGGAAGCTTTCACTTTTTGCGTGCTTGCCCTCGCTCTTGCTGGCAAATTCATCTATCCTGCTGCAGGGGCATCCCTGCTATGGTAATAGATCCCAATTCTTCAGGATTTCCACAAAGACTGAAGACCAGATGAGACATTAAGCCTCATAGACTGAACGACTATCAGATTCTTGGCTTTTCTGTTAGAAGACTGTCATTGTTGAACTGGATGGACCACAGCCTGTAAATCACTCTAATCTCTCTCTCTCTCTCTCTCTCTCTCTCTCTCTCTCTCTCTCTCTCTCTCTCTCTCTCTCTCTTTCTCTCTCTCTCTCTCTTGTTCCTCTAAAGAACTTTAACTAATACACTGACAGCCAGGACCAGTTCTGAGTTTATGCATCTATACACACATACGTATATTTTCCCATCCATTCATCTTTGCTTTAAGGGTTAAAAGGCTCAACACAGTATAGACAGCTAAAAGTCTGGCCCTGGATTATAGCTAGAAAGGGTAAGGCTGGCCAGGTTGCAGTGGAGCATGTTGTAATCCAGCACTTCGGAGGTGGAAGCAGGAAGTTTAAGGGTCCAAGTTCATCCTTGGGTACATAGCAAGTTCAAGACCTCCCTGGGTGACATTGGACCCTGTGGGGTATGGATTACATGTGCCAGAGCCCACATTTCCAACAGCTAGCTGACATACACTAACACCTGGCCATCTCACTCTATAAGGTTGTGCAGGAAGCAAAGTAATATAGTCCCCTCAGCCCACTGCCATGCTAAAGATCAGGTTTAGAGCTCCTTTGCATGCTAGGCCAGACCCTACTCTTTTCCGTGTTTATGTGTACACACGTTGCCGTGAGTGAGTACAGACATATGCCAAAGCACCTGTGTGGAAGTCAGGGGATAAGCTCTTGCCTTCCACATTGCTGGAGGCGCTGTGTGTGTGTGTGTGTGTGTGTGTGTGTGTGTGTGTGTGTGTTTTATACCTCACATGCCAGATGATCTGGCTCCTGAGCTTCTGTGGATTCCCTCTCTCCACCTCCCATCTCGACTGTGTGAGCTTTTTAGGACCACTGGTGCATGCTCTGTGCGTGCCCGGCTTTATAGGGGTTTGGGGATTGGCACTCTGGTCCTCAAATTTGCCAGCAAGCACTTTAGCCACTGAACCATTCCCCTCTCCACACTTGCCCCAGGCTCTACTATTACGTCTTGAAGTAACCCTGGGAATTTTCTTGCCCAGGGGCTCTCCCCACCCCATGCGTTATTAATCCTTTTTAACAACTTCATTGCAGATTAAATGGAAAGAAACATGGAATTAATATATCATTTCTTTCTTTCTTTCTTTTTTTTTAATGATGCTCTCTTGCCAGGTGGTGGTGTCATAGCACTCAGGAGGCAGAGACAAGCGGATCTTTGAGTCTGAGGCCAGCCTGGTCTACAGAGTGAGTTCTAGGACAGCCAGGGCTACACAGTGAAGCCCTATCTCAATCAAACAGACAATAAAAGTAATAAAAATATTTATTGTGGGACTGCTCTAACTTGAGACCCACACCACAAGAGGGAACCTATGCCCAACACTGCCTGGATGGTCAGGAACCTGAAGCTGGATGGCTCAGAGACCTAGGATAGAACTGAATAAGACTGACCAAAAAAAAAAAAAAATCATTAAATCCTAACACTATTCTGCTTTACTCATAGATCAGTGTCTAGCTCAATCGTCCTCAGAGAAGCTTCCTCTGGCAGTTGATGGGAACAGAAGCAGAGACCCACAATCAAACTTTAGACAGAGCTCGGGGAGCCCCGTTGGAAGAGGGAGAGGAAGGATTGTAGAAGCCAGAAGGGTCAAGGACACCCGTTGGAAGAGGGAGAGGAAGGATTGTAGAAGCCAGAAGGGTCAAGGACACCATGAGAACACGGCCCACAGAATCAACTAATCAGGGCTCTTAGGGGCTCACAGAAACTGAAGCAGCAATCATGGAGTCTGCATGGGTCTGCTCCAGGCTCTCTGCATACATGCTGTGGTTGTTTAGATTGTTTTTTTGTGGGACTCCTAACAGTGGGAATGGGGGTGTCTCTGACTCTTTTGTTTGCTCTTGGGACTCTTTTCCTCCTCCTGTGTAGCCTTGTCCAGCCTTGCTATGAGGGTTTGTGTCTAGTCCTACTGCATCTTGTTATGCCATGTTTGGTGGATACCCCTGAGAGGCCTGCTCTTTTCTGAAGCGAAACAGAGGAGCAGTGGATCTGAGGGAGAGGAGAGATGGTGGTGGTGGGGAACTGGGAGGGTTGGAGGGAGGGGAGGTTGTGATCAGGATGTATTACATGAAAGAAAAGAAAAAAAAATGATTCTCTCGGTCAATATGTGAGTTCCCCATCCATTCTTAGTTATAGCAACATTATCATTTAAATGTTATTATTCAGTGTAAGAATTAACTTTTTTATTACTTTAATTGCAGTCTTCTGGGTGAATCTCACCACTCACATCTTTCCTTTTTATTCTGTAAAATTTCAGCTCTTGGTTTTTAAACATATTCATTTTCTGGCTTTTCTCTATTTATAGGGTTGCCAGATAAAATATAAGATGTCAGTTAAACAGCAATTTTGTTTTTAGGATTTTTTTGTACTTTTAGTTCCATTTAATATTTGGAGCATATTTATGCTAAAGAAATAATCACTGCTCATCTGAAATTTAAATTTGATTAGGTAGCCTGTTTGTTAAACGCGCTAATCCTACCTCACACCGATCTTTGGCTGATGAGGACTGGTTTCCCTCCCCAGTGCTCCTTCACAGTGGCTCTAAAATACAAGTCAAGCTTTTGAGGATAAGAGAGCCCTGCATTGCGGCTTCTCCCAATATCTCCACCTCCAGCCCTGCCTCCTTCACCGGACATGCAGCCTGGGGTCTCCAGAATGCTAGGTGAGTGCTCTCCCACCAAGTCACAGGCCCAGCCTCTGCCTTGCCTTTAACCTGGACACTGAATAATGGAGATTGCAGACAAAAATCTCACGAGGAGGCTGAACTTTTGGGAACACAGCACGGCTTCCCACCCAGGCTCCTGTGGAGGTAGGTTCTGAGCCCCATGTTAGGACAGCAATTTGGGGGGCTCATTGGGGGGTGTCACCTGCTGAGGCTGTGCAGCCTGTGGCTGTGAGGTAGGACACAGCTTCCTTCATACGGCACAGGGTGTGTCAAGGGTTGGTGTGCCTCCGATGCCCCCCACCCCTTCTCATGCTCACCTTGACCTCTTTCTCCAGGTAGTCACACAGCAGGATGTGGGGGTCAATGAGGTAGTCAGGAGGATACAGAGGCATAGAGTGCAGGGGCGGGCGACTGACATGGTTCCTGAAGGCAGCCTGGCGAGCAGCCTTCGGGAACACCAGCCTTCGGATGGGAGACACAAAGCCCTGGGGGAGACAGGAGAGTCCCAGTAACAACAGCACCAGCTTTACAGAACACTCAGGAGCTCAGTTCTACTTCCACAATCTAAATTAACCCCCAAACCGCAGGAGGAGCAGCCTTGTGGCTCCCCTTTCCCAGCTGGAGCAGTGACGCCCCAGAGCTGGAACCCGGGCTGGTGACAGTCCAGGTGGGGACATCCCAGTTCCCAAACCTCCCGGGGAGGGTGATGTTCCTGCCAGTCAGATTCAAAGAGTGGCCAAGGCTGGGGCTAAGTGGAGGATGCCTAGGCATTTGTTAAGTTATTCCCTGTGGATGGATCAAGGCCACAGGTGCAGATTCCAGGGCACAGCCCAACCCAGCAGCCCCTAAAGCTCAGAGAATGTGTAAGCTTTGCTCTTTGTAAAAGCTGCCGTTCTAGATGAGCATTCCTGGGCCAGCAGCAGTAAAACCTGGAAATCTGAGAAATGCTGCTTCCTGGGTTCCATCCTAGACCTACTGAATCTGAAGCCCTGGGGGCTCCCTCCCTGGTGGCATTCTAGAACTGCCGTGGCAGTTCCTAAAGCTCTGGGTGCTGGGACTACATATGCCCCAGCAAAGCAAACCACAAATTCTGGTAGCACGTGTTGTATGCTGCTTAGCTCTGCCACAAGACAAGTACAAACAGAAGAAACTGCCGCCTAAGAGCGTGCACTCAAGTCTACATGTTCATTCAACAAATATTTATTCATGCCTGTCTGCCTGCAATCCGTGCTGGGTGCCAGGTGCTGGGATTCAGGAAACACTAGACCCCAGTCTTGCCTCCAGGGTCATGACAAGTGATCTAAACTAGTACATATCAGATTTGACTGTACTTGAGAATTCTGACTCAGTAGGTCTGGAGTGGGACCTGAGACTGCTTTTCTAACAAGCCATAGGGGGTATTGATGGTGTGTGCATGTCTGCGTGTACATACATGTTTGTGTTCATGCGTGTGTGTGTGTGTGTGTGTGTGTGTGTGTGTGTGTGTGTGTGTGTGTATACATGTCACATTCACAACTGTGGAGATCATAGGACAACCTCAGGTGTTGCCAAGCAGGCCAGGCTGGTTGGCCAGTGAGCTGCAGTGAGCTGCTGTCTCTCTCCCAACACTGGGATTATTATTGAAACTATTAGTTTACTCATCCAACCTCTAGCTCTTGCAGTTCATCTCACAGTTAACATGCCACTACGTTGGCTTTTTAAAATGTGGGTTCAGGTCCTCAAGGTGGTGCAGCAAGCACTTTACCAACTGAACATCTCCCAGCTCTCATGTTGCATCTCAAGGATCTAGGCTAGTGATTCTCCAGTGTGGTTTACAGGTACGGTCTTTGACCTGTGCATCAGAGCCTGGAGATGAGGGAGGCCCCATGGTCTCTGAGTGGTTCTGTCATACGACCACTCAAGTCTCTGAGGGACCATCGTGGAGTCTGCAGCATGGAGTCTGCAGCAGATTACTCCTAGAAATCTGGGAGAAGCTCTCCAAGCAGAGGACACAGATGAACAAGACCTCAAGAGACTTCAAAAGCAGAGGGAGAGGAATCTGAGGGCACTAAGCGCAGTCCATCCATCATGGCTGGATTATAAGAGACAAGTCCTGAGAGCCTTCAGTGCTAGCTAGAGCTAGGATGTTTTCCTGTACCTGTGAGTAGGGTGTGTGTGTGTGTGTGTGTGTGTGTGTGTGTGTGTGTGTGTGTGTGTATGTGTGTGTGTCTGTCTTTGCCCCCAGTGATCCAGCCTCAGCCCACCCTTTACCCCCACTTTACTATACAGTATTCCTTGCTCCCATCTCTCAGCTGCTCAGCTTTTCTAATTCCTGCCATGGAAGGAACATGCTGTTTCTTAGCCCCTACTTGTTTTCCTTGAACCCATCAGCTCATATGCCCAACTCAGCAATCTAAGACTGGATACCCTAATGCTCCATCTTCCAGCACTGAGCACAGTGGCTTTGTGCAACGTTTACATCAATTCCATTTGTTGTTTTTAAAAAAGTTAATCATTGTTTACCTCATTAGACTGTGAGCTCCCAAGAAGGAGTGGGGGACCTTATTTGATATTGCTCATCACTGTCATCTACAATCAGAATTTTCCTGTCCTGACTGCCTGTTCCCCAATACCCAGCAGCTGCTTCCCAAATTATCACACAGAGGCTTATATTAATTATAAATGCTTGGCCAATAGTTCAGGCTTGTTACTAACTAGCTCTTTCAACTTAAATGAACCCATTTCTATTAATCTATATATTGCCTGTGACTTTACCTGTCCTCTAGCATGTCTTGCTTCCTGAGTGGCTGGCTGGCTGGCATCTCCCTGATTCGACCCTCCTTCTCATCATTCTCATTTTGGCTTTCCCACCTAACTTCCTGCCCAGCTACCGAAATTCTGAGCATCATAGAAGTGTGTGTGTGTGTGTGTGTGTGTGTGTGTGTGTGTGTGTGTGTGTGTGTGTACAATCCTCCTATTGTTTCAGTGGTCCTTAGGATGCTCAAATCTGATTAGAAGCCAGAAAGCAGTTTGCCCATGGCCTTGTGATTCTGTGGGCTAACAGAAATAGCCACAGAGGAATTTTGCATGGCAAAATTTAATAGAAGTATGGTGGCCCTATAACCATGGATTGTTCTGTTCTGTATGGATACTCCAAAAAGAAGATTCTATGTTAAGTAGATGTGAGGAGATAGCTGAGGGAGCCAGAAGAAACTGGTAAGCTGCAAGAGAGTAAGTAATTCAGGACTGATCCTTGTGAGGAAGGAAGAAAAGCATGGAAAGTAGGCTTAGGCTTGGACAGCTCTCAAGAAGATTAATATAATCTACCTGCTATGGAAAGTTGTACAACCAGTTGTACAGGAGGGCGGCTTCACAGTCCTGCCTTGCTGTCACTGGCTGAGACTGTGGGACCTGTGGCCTCTAGTGCAAAGCTGGAGGTACGTTTAAAACAGATCGGCTGGGGCTTTGAATCAATAACTCTCATGTATTTCCATGGCTACCACGTGTCTCTCTATTTCCAAGCACCCTAAGCAGCCTCTCTCCCCTCCTCCTCAACTCTATGGTAATGGATCATAAATACAAGTTGCAAATGAATTTGTCTTCCATGTTTGCAATTGCTCATAGGAATCTGATGCAAAGAATCAAAATCACAGACAGCATGTATAGAAGGAGGGTAAAAACACATTTGACTTTTCCAAGGATATGAATTGTCTCTATTTCTCCACACTGGCTCTTCAGTTGAAGCCATCAGACAAGCATGGCCCCGCATCTTCATGCATTCAGCAGCTGCCTTCACTGCTACATACTTAGGTGAGGAGACTTAAGCTCCAACCCAAAGTCAGCAACATCGCTTTAGCCACTGATTTCACCATCTCCACCAAGCTTCTCTCCAAATTGCTACCAAAACTCAACAAAATACAAGCTTTCAAATTGTGAACTTCTGAAGTTCTGTACTCACTGGTCAGCAGATGACTGAGAAGCCAAATCATCCCTAATTCTTAAAAGAATGAAGAGCAGCACCACAAAGCACCTAATCTCACCAGACATGGTGACAGGCACGCATTATCTAGGTCATCTCCTTTGGTTTCACCTCAACCCCCTAAAGTCAGTCTAGATGGCTTCCTTTTCCAAAGTTCAGGCCACAGGAAGAAGGACTTGTCTACAACTGAGACCAGGCATTGTGACTCTAAGATCATTGCTCCTTCTAATTTCTCCCATGATTTCTGACCCAGACACAGGGAAATGATTTTGATGTGGGATCCATAGATGCCACCAGAACTATATTTAATCAAGTGATGGAAAAAGAATTTGAAGACGGCATCGTTAACTGGGGAAGGATTGTGACTGTATTTGCCTTTGGGGGTGTTCTCCTCAAAACACCCCCAAGAGCAGATTGGCTTGGATGTGGATGCTTACAAGCAAGTTTCCAGTTTTGTGGCTGAATTCATCATGAATAATAACACAGGAGAATGGATACGGCAGAATGGAGGCTGGGTAAGTGTGATGATATTCCTTTTACATTTCTCTACTGCAAAATTGGAGTGGAGAGTTTCCTTACTAATTAAAACAAACAAGAAAATACCAATGAAAAGATTTCAGTCTGTTCATAGATTGCTGTGGATATCGCTCTGTATAAATAAACACTGATTGGCCAGTAGCCAGACAGGAAGTATAGGTGGGACTAACAGAGAGGAGAATTGAGCGAACAGAAAGACAAAGGAGGAGACTGCTGGAGCCGCCGCCAGGACAAGGAAGATGTAAGGTACCAGTAAGTCACGAGCCACGTGGCAAAATATAGATTAATAAAAATGGGCTAAATATAAGAGTAAGAGCTAGACGATGATAGGCCTGAGCTAATGGCCAAGCAGTTTAAATAATAGAAGTGTCTGTGTGTTTATTTTATAAGTAGGCTCTGGGACTGGCGGGATTTGGCGGGCCCTGGAGAGAAAACTCTCGAGCTACAGTAGATTATTTTAGATACTTTTAAATTAAAAGTAAACAAAGCAGAAATCTCCTGGGTCATTTCCAATGGACCCTACAGCTTTACAGTTGGCAAACATTTGTCTGTCCAGCTTTTCTTCTAGCTTGGGAACTAGTCATGAGGTCTGGGACTGAAAGCAGCAGCTTTTGACTGCATCTTCAGAATTAGCAGTGCAGACCCTCAAGTGTCGGCCTTTTGCTAGGATTCTCATGACAATAGAGAATTAGTACAGAAAGAGCTGGAATTAGATCTTCTCGTTTGTACTTTGCAGTGTTGTAACAGTCAGCAGCACAGTTTTGTGCATTCCTTACTTACACATTGACTTTTCCCATTTTCTAATATATAAATTGTGGGCTATTGAAGTTTCATGATACAAATAAATGATGTACTGCCTCACTGGAAGGAACCCTTTTAAAGGATATTCAAATATAAAAATTTGCTTTTTTATGTACAAAGCATATTTATTGAACACACCCAAAGAAAATACTTGGAGCATCTCCCTTCCCCATTTGGAGGAGAGATTTCACCATTTTGCCCAGGCTGGCCTCCAACTTCCAGAGAATAGTGATGCTTCCACCCTCAGCCTTCCACATCTGGGACTTCCCATCTGGGACTCTGGATGTACACTACCATGCCTGGCTAGAAAGATGCCCACTCAGCCCTTTGTCACCAGGGATCAAACCTAGAGCCTAACACAATCTGAACCCATGCTCTGTCACTGCACTGTACCCTCAGCCTCATTGCAGTCTTTCTGAAAAATACTCTACAAATTAGTATCTGGGCTAGACATGGCAGTGCACATCTGTAATTCCAGAACTCAGGAACAAAAGATAAGAAGACCAAAAGTTGAGGGTCATCTTCAACTACACAGCAAGTCAGTAGAAGGCCAGATCTGGTCATATGAAGGCCTGTTTAATCTGTCCACCCCAAATAGTACATGGACTTATTCTGTAACTGTTTTTTTTTTTTTCAACCCAGTACTTAAAATAGTATTTTAAAGAATACTTTAGGGACTGAGGGAGTAGATCAATTGTGGAGCTCCTATGTTGCATGAACAAGGCTCCTAATTCAATCCCTAGCACCATAAATAAACAAAAATTTTAAAAGTTCTTAATATGTTCTGCTGAATGCACATGGCTGTCCAAGAGCTGTTTATTTGGGTTATTTCCAGAGTTTTCTGTCATAAGCATGTTTCTTTGAATATACCAATATGAATCCTCTCCTGTGTATAGGTGTTTTCTAGGGTGGATATTTGGTCATAGAGTTATTTGCTCATGGTTTCTATCCATTTTGAAATGACTAGATTTTTCTGCTCCATAGTGGTTCTACCAAATTATAATCTTGTCAGCAGCATGTTAGAGTAGCCAACATTTCCTTGGTACAAAGAGGTCCTAGTAATCTATTACAATTTCTCCACTTTGTTAATACATATACTTAGTATCTTATGTTAATTAATTTTGCCCCTGGTTACAAGTATAGTTACAGTTCTCTTAATGCTGAGCTCAAGTTCATGCTCATCGACTAATTCTTACTGAAAGAAATGCCCCCTTCTTTCTTTTGCCTGGTTTCCAATTGTTTATTTACAAAAGAATTCCTTGAACAACCTGAATGCAAGTTATTTTTATACATGGCAGATTTCTCTTAGTTTGTTGATTATCTTCTAAAGTTATAGATGTCTTCAACAATTACAAGTTTTTGGAGTTTGATGCAATTGACTTTATTGAACACAGACTTTGTTCCACTTCTGCTTTGATGAGTCTGCTTGCTCAGTGCTATGTCACACTGTAAAGCAGTCTTCCTTTTCGATTGCTTTCAACTACCTGTAGCTCTTCCCTCTAATGTGGCTGGATTTGACTCTAGGTGAAACATGCCAGATGTTTGGTTATGTTTCTCCTGGTTGGCTGTGGGAAAGACTCAGAAAAATCTCTGCTGCACTGTGTGCAAATAAACAGCTCTT